CCGAAATTTGGGATTCCCAAAAATTTGGTTTGGGATTGTCTTCAAATTACTGTCCCGAAAATTTCGGTTTGGGATTCGGGATACTAGTTTCAGTATGGTATCCCATACCGAACCACCCCTAGTTGTTCGTGTGTTAGGCTTGAAAATTCGCCACACGAGAGGAAGCATGTTGAGAGTAAATCTCACATCAGAGAAATAAGAAACATTACATGTGCTTATAAGTAATTTGATTATCCTCATATAGCAAATTAGTTTTATGGTAAAACCACAACTTTATTTAAAAAGCAAATGCCTTTCGGAACACAAAAATGCTTTTAGTTTATTTTATCAAACATAATCAGAAGTATTTGTAACTTTATAATAATCTAAAAGAACTTTGAGTTATTTTATAAGCACGTCAATCATACACTTTAATCACATAAAAAAATTCATAAATTTATACTCTATTAGTTTTCATCCATCTCCAATTCACTTCTAGATTTATTTGAACAAAAGAATGTATAATTACTTTTCTTTTGTACATAATTGTTGCCATACCAGGTATGGTTGTCCAGAATCCCAAGTTTTTTGTTTAATCATCACCTGTTGAAATTAAGGGGTGATTAGTGAGATTTCAGTTGGCAAAGGATAATCTACCTAATCTTACCCACTAGCTTCCAGCTTTCCACCGCCAGAATTGGTGCCTACATTGAAATTTCTTTTGCGTACCGAAAGGCTTGGATAGTTTGTGAAAGCGAGTGTGTGGTTAATTAGGTTGGGTGCATGCAAAATAATATCCAGGAAATGAGTTGTCCATGAACTCTAATACATAATATCTTGTTTGGCACCGCAAGGAATGGGAAAGAAAAGACAAAGAAAGCAACCACAAAGTGCTTCCCATTTTGAGATTATGATATATACTCTAGGGAAAGGGAAATAGGGACCTTATATTTCTGAGGGAATGTGAAATTACACAAGTTTGTACTAGGGCTTCAAAGAAATAAACACATGGATTCCTTATCATGAGCAAATGACGAAGCATGGGATAAGGACATACCTTACTCTAAGAAGTAGAATTCAAGTTTTACCCTGAGTATGTTCTTATGTAATTATGTTGACATCTCATTTGAGCGATCAATTCATGTTTGAATTTGCAATAATTATATATGATCTGAGAATGTTATATTTACGTATTTTATAATCTAATAATGATTACGCGTATTTTATAATCTAATGATTAGGAACATGCTTTTGTGGGCTCAACTTCAATTAGGTCCAACAGCTTCTCTCTTGGTATCTTTGAAAACCCTACGTAAAGAAACAAAAACAAAGAACCTGTAGCTGGAATGATGAAATTAGCATGTGAGGTGTGGAATCTGATGTGCAGAATATATAAACCAGTCATGTACATAAACTTTTTGTAAAGGGCAAGCTGCAGACCGTCCTATAATCTAATATTAACCATGATTAAACTGTATTAGCAGTGTTGGTACACCCCTCGACATGCTACTTTCAACCTTCATTATCACTAATACCAAAAGGCATTGCATGTGCTAATATCCTTATATTATATATCGACCACCATATATAGTACTAGTATGATTGTTATGCATCATATCACTGAATCCCTATTTGTATTATTTGGTCCAATGTGCCTCCACCCATGTCCTTATTTCACTTTTATTGGCAAACTTTGTAAGATTTTAGAACGGTAATTATTAATTTGGGTGCTGGTAATTTCTTTAGCTTCTTTTCTCATTACAAAGAAAACCCTTTTTTTTGTTTAACAAAAGTTTAGGGAGACGTGAGGCTATCCCATCTCAGGTTAGGATATACTATAAGTTTCTTTGAGGACTTACAAAGGGTCCGTGTCCTCTTTGTTGGTTTTTACAGATTCACCCACCAATACAAAACTACTGACAGCGGGACTTGAACCTTGATGGGGCGGCACAATATTGGATTTGAAATGTTTTTCAATAATGGTAACATTATAAAGGGTGTACATGTGAAATGTGTCTTTTAACATTCTATATGCACATATACGAATAATTAAACAAATGATTTTTCTTGTGTGGAATTATACTAGGGCACTTCTTTTGACGTTGTTCCGAGCCTCAAAAATCTCAAGACTGGCACTGCATCTTAACTAACCTTTCCACAATAGTTTGAGTAAGAGTGATACATACTTATATATAGGAATCAGGCACCCTGAGTTTGATAATATAACAATACTGCTACACTAGTGTGAGTTTAAAGCCTACTAGTTTATAAGAATAACACTCATGAATTTAATACATTGTAGTACACTCACTTTTTCCGATCTATTGTGAAAGAGCTTAACTTACATAGATGGTATTTCAACTCTATTAGAAAAATGGTTAAACTAGATGATTTGCTGAGATCGTACAAATAGCAGCATTTGTTTAAAACTAAAGATTATAGACTTGAGTGCTAAAACCATGGAGAATTGTCTCATTTCTCTGACTATATTCAAACTAAGTTTAAGCAGTGGGTTGGCCTGGCCTCTTAACTATATAATATGGAAAGCCAAATATATGGCAGGAAAAGGTACCCAGAAACCGCTCATTGGAACACGGTTTCTTCTGCCCCAACTATGAATTAAATTTAAGTAGGAATTAGAATTGGAAATTTTGAGGAAAGTGTGGTCTTCTAAAAGTGGCAATTTCAAGATTTAGATGCAAAATAATTATATAGATTTTGAGGAAAACTAGATGAGATCAAGAAAGGAGAAAAGGGGTAAAAATTAAATTCTTAGAAAAATGGAACAGAAAGGTAGATGCAGAAGAAGGGGAAACATTAAAAAATTGATTTTCTTTCAATTCATTTGATCCGAACCCAAAAATTAAGAAAATTATATGAGAAGTAAAAATAGGTGTGTGGATAGCACTACCCAAATAAATTGAAACAAGGGAGGCTATAGGTAAAACTAAAAGGTAAAAACCACGTACGAAATTCACCATAACAAATAAGGCGCAGAAAAGCACAAGTGATTAGCAAATGGAATTTATATAAGATTAGGCTTAGATTGAAGTCAATTTTGTCATTTTGGATGGTAGTTTATGCTAAATTCAAAACCTAGCATTTTTCGAGAGCTATAGAAAATCGTTGGATTCACTTCAAATTTGGACCACCAAATCATTACAAACCCTAGCCATGTCCTTAAACATCAACCCTATGCATTAAAAAAAGGAAATTGTTATTGGCACTCCAAAAATCTCATTCTACACTTCTTCATAAGTGTATTTTTATTTCTAAATATACAAAGTTTGGAGTGTAGAATGAGATTTTTAAAGTGCCAATAACAATTCTAAAAAAATTTGTTATTACCAGTGTCAAATAATGACTGTTTGTCTCAACTAACATGGACCCTCTTAATTTTTTTCTCTCTTTTTTTATTTATTAATCATGGTCAATGCAGAATCGCACATTTCACAACCACTGTAAGTGCTAATATAGGAAACCCTAGGAGACTCTGCTTCATTCATTTCAATCACCTTTCAACCCTCCTACAAGGCTACAACCACCACCAAAATCCACTTGCTTAATAGTGAATGAGAAGCTATTTAGTACTACGGTTAAGTGGTTTCTTCTTTACTGGTAAGTGAAAGGTCTTAGGTTCGCCAAAAACAAATTTAAACCATGTAATTGCGGGTCTATTATGAGGTTTAGCCCACTCTCTCCCCCCTTAATGTAAATAATATTATTTGTCCAAAAAAAAGTGAATGAGAATACATGTACCCCAAGAAATTCCAAGAAAATCGTTTTCTCCGAATTTTTACAATGAGAAATTTGAAGTACACGTCCCTAGACTGTCTTAAGTGAGCTTTCCGTTTTTTTTTTTTTTTTTTTTTCTTTCCAAAATCCTTAATTAGTCAATAAACTCGTCACAATATAAAGTAGTAGTGGTTTTCTGAGTGACAACGTTAGAACTTCTGTTTAAAATAAGAAAATTGTTATCGATACTCTAAAAATCTTATCATACATTCCTCACAAGTGTAATTTTTTTTTAAATATAGAAAATTTGAAGTGTGAAATGAGATTTTTGGAGTGCTAATAACAATTTCCTAAAATAAAAAATGTTGACAGACCAATAGAAGATGGAAGCTACTCTACAAAAGTTCAAGATTCGAAAAAATACTAGACACTAGTCGGGCGGTGAGTTGAGGCCTAGCGCTTAGGCGGCTAGGCAGGGTCTAGGCAGGTGGCTAGGTAGACTAGGCGGATTTAACTAAATCCATTATATTTCATGTAAATAAGTGTATGTTTATACTTAAAATATATATAATTTCATCATAAACTACAAAATAGAATGACACATATATTATGAAGTATTGAAACATAATGAAAACATGGGAAACAAGCATATAATGTGTGCTCATTTAAGTATTCAACAAGTCTCTTACAATTTATTGAAAAAAAATAAAATGCAAAATGAAAGTTATCTATTTTTTGCCTAAGTGAGTTGCAACCTAGGCGGGTCTGGGTGGGCTAGGCGGGTGCCTCAGCGTGTCTAGGTGTCATTTCTTAATTTTTAAACGCCTAGGCATTAATCGGGCCAGTTACCAACCGCCTAGTGCCTAGGCGGGACCTAGGTGGCGCTAGGCGGAGATTTTTAGAACAGTACAAAAGTTATCCAGAAGGACAATAATGAGTTATCCAAAAGGACAATAATGAACTCAGAGACCGACCTCACAAAATTTTAATTTAGAAATCAAAATTCCTAGTTCAAGAACCATACTTTAATTTTCTCTTTTACGATTTATATGCACAGAGTGTAGAATTCTAAAAGAAAGGGTGTTAAAATCAGTTGCTAGCCAACTCCAAAATTTAGCATGACGAGAAAGGTTTTCCATTCTTTAGCCAGAAAGATATGCGGTCATAAAACAACAATTAAGTAGAACATAATTGACTGGGCTATAAAATTGTAGAAACACCTATTTCTTTCATTTTTTGGATCAAAAGGATCGATATAAAAAAGCACAAAGATTTATAAACATATGTCATTATAATATGATATAATTGTTATTATTTTATTCTTTTTCATATTTATATACGTAACAAGTTACCAACTAAAAGGGAAAATAAAATGCAGCAGCCTAACAAAATTCCACAGCTTATCTCTGTAGATAGATGATATAGTTCACTCCAGAGCAACAAAGATAACACAGGAACACATGAACAGGACAGGGTACTTGACAATTGAACATCGTTTCCCATATTCCCATTCTACCCTTGACATCGCTACTTTTTACATGATAGAGCAGGCATTAGGGTTCTCATCACTGAAGATCTGAGGTGGTGGGTAGGCATACAATTCCATGGCATACCTTGATGGGTGATAATAGTACTCATTCTTCTGCATCAGCTCCACCACCTTAGTCTCTTCTGTGGCAGCTCCTTCCGGTGCACCATCAGCGGCCGCGGCTGCTGCATCTTCATTGTTGTCGGCTTTATTTTCCTTGTTCTCTTCTGCTTTTGCTTCATCACCACCACCACCATCTTTTCCTTTCTTCTCTTTATCATCACCTTCCTCACCACCTTTCTTCTCATCTTTGGCTTCTTTGGCTTCTTCTTTCTCTTTCTTCTCCGGTTCTTGCTTCACGATCGCCGCTTGCTTCCCGGTTCTTTTGCGTACATAATCAATTAGCTTAGCCGGATCAAACACACCCTTCACTGTCACCTCTGAGCTCTTAAGATCTGCTTCGGCAGATTCCACTCCTGAAAAAATGACACAATAGAAAAGCACACAAATATGATCAATCAGAATATCGCTCGACTAAAAAAAAAGTATTTTTTTGAAGCCAACGAAAATTCAGAAAATAAATAAAAGTTGGGATTGGTGGGATTTGGTCTTGGAAAGGAATTGAATTGACTTTAATTGGACCTGATTTTTGTTAATTGAAGAGGAAGAATGTATTGACAATGAAAGATTGGTCATTGGTGAGAGAATAATTATTTTTTTAAGAGATTCACAAAAATAGAAAAGTGATTTTCTTTTCAATATTTTTCTCTCTTTTTTTTTATTTTTTATTTATAGAGGTTGCAGATTGCATTGCACAGCTAATAAAAGATGAGGACCGTTAATTGCCAACGCATTCATAGTCCAAGATTTCCATTTTTTTAATTGTGGAAAGGTGCAATATGCATGAACCCAAATCTGAAAAGGGATCAAAGAAATAATTACATTTTTCTTTTTCTTTTTCGGGTTTTGTTTTTTCTCTGAAAAAAGAAAAATAAAATAAAAATTCGAACACACCTTTCATTCTCAGAATGCGTTTCTTGATTTCTTGTGCACAGGCATCGCAATGCATGTGAACTTTCAGCACCACCGTGATGACTTGAGGCTGCAAAAAAAAAAAAAGAAAAACGCCAATAAATTAAAAAAAAAAAATTTCAATTAAAATGGCAATGGAAAAAAAATATTATGAAAAATAATTAATCTTTGAGTGAGATGAGCACCTCCTCTTTCTTTTCTTCTGGCTTGGGCTTCTCTTTCTCCTCCGCCTTCTTCTCCTCCTCCGTCGGCGGTTTTGGGATTGGAGACAGCAGCTCCACCTGCCGGTGGCTCTTCCTCTGAACTCTTTCAAGAACCTTAATTGGATCAGCCTTCTCTCCCTTCACAACCACCTTGTGAGTTTTGCAATCTGTGCTCACATCTTCCACCCCTGAAAGTTAATATCAAAATTAAGTAAACATCAACCCAATAAGATTAATACAAAAACAAACCAAATATGAAAATCCAAACCTTGAAATCCTTTGAGGCACCGCTTCACCTTGCGAGCACACCCTTCACAATGCATATAAACTTTGAGCACAATTTCTTGAGGTGGCGGCGGAGGCGGTGGAGCAGCGGCGGCGTCGTCACCCTCCTTGGCCTCTATTTTCCCATCTTTTCCCTCCTCGGCTTTCTTCTCCTCCTTCTTTTCCTCTGCAGCTTCAGGCTTTTTCTCTCCCTCTTTCTTCACCTCCTCTGGCTTCTTCTCCTCCATGTTCTTCTCCACCTAAACCAACACAAACCCAAATACAAGAACAAACCCAATAAACAAAAGATGCAAACTTTGAGAGAAACAAATCATATACAAAAAGAAGAATATCAAATCAGAAAAAAGATTATTAAGGTTGTAGGACCTCCCCCATTGGTTTAGTTCACTTGTCAAGTTTTACTCTGTTTTTAATCCCTCTCTCTCCTCTCTCTCGAGTGCCGAGTGGGATGAGAGCTCAGCTTTCCCTGTATTTATGAGAAATGAACGGGCAGTCTCTCTTTGTACTTTGTATTAAACTTCGAGTTATATCTTTATATTTTGTATTAAACTTTGAGTTACATATTTGGATCCACCATATCTGAAGCCAAAAGCCACTCGGTTCTCTCTCTCATCACCCAATTTTCTAACCCCCGTGACGTGGCATTTTCGGAAGGCCACGTGTGCCCTCTGTTCATTTGTTTTTTTTTGTGCATTTCTGGAATTTTCTACCACTTGCTTCTGCTGCTTAATTTTCTTGTGCTCTTGTTCCTTTCACTCAACTGTATTTGTCTGGACCTGGAGTTAATAGAATGGTGGGGATGAACTTCATATAGTTAGCGAGTATGAATGAGTGAGCGAGTGGAATTCAAAATATGAAAGAAATTATTTGACAATCACTTACAAGTCAAACGTATAAGTGAACTCGAGGGTTTAGATAACGAAAACTTAATTGGGTAACGTCTGGGTATACAACTCATCTTAATACTTATTTACATAACTTTAATGATTACAATGGTATTATTTGTTAGAGTATACACAAACTAACAACAATGTATACAACTAAGCTTGGGTGTTGACCTGATAAAGTTTGATTTGATAACAAGTAACGTCTAAATTTACAGTTCATTCTGAATACTTATTTTTTGTAATTTGACTACTTGTAAGGCATGCACATAAGAAAAAAAAGTAAAACACCCTAAACTTTTTTTGGCGTTGACTGCCAAGTAAATTTAGGTGTTGCAACAATTAAGATTGGATTAGGTAACAAGTAATGTCTAACTTTACAACTCATTTTTAAGTTGGACTAAATCAAATGATGTGACTGTCTACATCAAATGCTACCTAAAATGGTATGAAAATGTGGTACAAAAACATAGTATGAATAGCATTACTCAATTTAAATAGTTGATTCAATGGTTTGCCAGCTTAAAAGTTGGATTTGGTCCAACGGCTAGTATTAGATTATTGGATGGTTATGTGACATGTTAATTGTGAGCGTTAATTTATTCTTCTCTGATACCGGTCAAAAAATTGGTTGGTTTCTGACCTATTTTCTATTTTATTTCCTCTAAATAGTAAATTTTATTAATTTCGTAAAGAACATATTGTAAAATTACAGCCTTGTCATATGATGCAGCATTGTTGATCCCAGCTAGGTCAAAATTGGAAAATGATTTGTCCAACACTTGGGCAGTGGGCAGGGCACGTGAGGCGCTGTATTGGCAAATGCATGGCAGGCTGGTAAAGTCCCACTTAAATTTGATATTTATTACTTATATCTGTGGATTTCTAACTTCTAAGTTAGGAAAATTATAAATCTAAAAGTTTGATGAAATTAGAAAAGAATAATATTTAGGTACCCAGGAAACGCAGCTTATATACTCAATTTTGTTGTTGTGGTTCAATGATATTTTAACACAAGGTTCTTTTTTTTTTTTTTTTTTTTTTTTTTAAATTTTATTTTATTTATAATAATAGACATAGTTTTTCTTGAACTTTAAAAAACAAGAAAAACATGAAATTTTAATTAGGCCAAATTAAAAAATAAGTATATGAAAAACTGACTAACGAGTACCTGAGTATTATCCATTTAAAAATCATAAGTGCAGTCTGTACATATCATTCAACAAATTTCAAAAGTTTTGATAATATATGAGATAATAATTTTTAGAAGAGCACCCACAAACTTTTCGACATTTTCATTACCAAGTACACCAATCAAGTTATGGGTTTCAGTAGGGTATCACAAATTGTAATCATGTCAGGAACGATCCAGTGGCATGAATTTGATTTGTGAGAGAAAAACTTCTCCAATTCCATGGAGAGATTTTTAGTGTATGCAGAATATTGGGTGGAATATCACATGTTATTATATAATTGAACGGATACATGTAAAAAAAAAAAAAAAAACATTTCCTCCAGTTGTATAATGGCATACGGTATTTTGCCCCATGATCCGGCACATTGAAAAGACTCTCCATTCCATGGGTCAAGAGTGTGCTTTATGTGCATGTTAATTTGGAGGAAGTAATCTAATTTTAGGAATTTTATATGGGTCCATCAGTCCATGTTAATTGTGTGTAACTAGTTAGGTTTTCACATAAGTCAAGCTCAATGTAACTTGCATTTACAGCATGAGATTAATGAATGCAATTTCAACTAATTTTAAAACAACTTATTGTTGGTGATCACTTAAAGAGGTATTTGAATTAACAAAAATCCAGTTGTATTTAGTAGCAAAGAGGGAGTATTGAACATTTTTTCAGTCAACTTGGCTAAATTCATATTTGACGTGTTTTTGTACGAATCCAGTTGTATTTTTTTCGTTTTTAGAATTTTTAATTTGAAAGGATTAAATTTAGAATTCATATATGGAAATATTTAGGTGGGACAATAAGGAGATAACGATAATAACGACGTTGAATTCTATAAAACAAAGTTAGTTGATAAACCTAACGTTAATTAACACCTCCTTCTCATAATTATTTTGAAGAATAAGATCAAGTGTTTCGGTTAATGGTTCCCCTTCCTCCACAACCAAACCAACAACCAACATGCCTTGCGTGTTATGTTGCATTTTTCAGTTTTTCTTCTAAATACATATGCATGCAGTTGCATGCTGAGTGTTAATTTGCTGGGACCACCGGGCCTAGGGAGGTGTCCTACACTATGAGATATTTGGCCCACCTGTAGATACGTGGCAAGGTATAAACCCTAAGAGCTTGAATTGCACCAACTCTCATGACTGTTCAAACACTTGTTAAAGTTTGAGAGCATGCAAAACTAGAGGCTACAAAAACAACATCTCTTGAATTAGCTAAAGCCGTCTTAATAAGCATGAGTTAACCACCACCTCAAAATTCAATTGTTTTATATAAAAGAAAGAACGTATGAAAAGGAAAACCAAAAGATAATGTTGTTTTGGTACATTGCTTTGGTTCTTTTTGTTTACTGAAAATATGATTTTACCTCTTCAAACTTTTTTTTCTTTTACATAAAATCAACAATAATATATTTTTTTAACAAAAATCGATGACTAGGCTTCACCTAAGCAAATTACCTAATCGAGATTGTGCATCATATTTAATATTATTTGGATTCCCCAAATTACCCTCAATTAAGTCATATAGCATTTTATGTTGATATCAGAATTAAAATGGAGAGCTTTTTTATTTTCTTGTAACGTGTGTAATGACTTTGAAATTTTAATTGACGTAGGAATAAAAATTCAAAACGTTTTGAATTCAACAATAAATTTTCAGATTAATGTACCCTATTGATTTAATAAAAACCATGTTTTTATTTTCTTTAAAACAAAAAGGGTAAAAAATGATGTGTCTAGTATGTTTTGTTTTATTTTTCGAACATCAATGTACCTATTTTTTTGGTTTTGAAAAGATTAGTGTACCTACTTAGTATAATAGTTTTGGTCATTTTGAAATATAATGCACCTGTTATCAAAATTTTGAATCTAAAAACTATAGGTAAATTAATTTGGGAATTGTTATTGGCACTCCAAATTCCTCATTCTACACTCCAAACTTTCTATATTTAGAAAGAAAAATACACTTGTGAGGAGTGTAAAATGAGATTTTTGGAGTGTCAATAATACTTCCCATTAATTTATGTAGGTAAATTAGTATAAGATTTCATACATGTTTATCATGGATCCTGAGCCTCTATTAGGTGGCATATTGTTAATATTTCTCATATAAAATATATTTATATTTAAATTAGTGAATCTACAAAATATAGGTAAATTAGTATAATATTTCATACATGTTTATCATGCATCCGGAGCCTCTATTAGTAGACATATTGTGACATCCCGGCCCGGGGTCCACCACATCTCGGACTCGCTCCACCACCGTAGCAGGAAATTGTCCACTTTTGGCCCCAACCACGCCCTCACGGTTTTGTTTATGGGAACTCACACTAGAACTTCCCAGTGGGTCACCCATCATAGGAGTGTTATCGCACGCTACTCACTTAACTTCGGAGTTCCCATGGAACCCGAAGCCAGTGAGCTCCCAAAAGGCCTCATACTAGGTAGAGATGAGAATATACATATAAGGCTAACAAGATCCACTCCCCTAGGCGATGTGGGATCTTACAATGATTGTCACATCCCGGCTCAAGGTCCACCACATCCCGAGCCCGCTCCATCACCGTAGCACGATATTGTCCTCTTTGGGCCCTGACCACGCCTTCACGGTTTTGTTTCTGGGAACTCACACGAGAACTTCCTAGTGGGTCACCAATCATGGGAGTGATCTCGTGCGCTACTCGCTTAACTTCAGAGTTCCCATGGAACCCGAAGCCAGTGAGCTCCCAAAATACCTCGTGCTATGTGGAGATGGGAATATACATATAAGGCTAACAAGATCCACTCCCTTGGGCGATGTGGGATCTTACAATGATTGTCACATCCCGGTCCGGGGTCCACCACATCCCGGGCCCGCTCCACCATCGTAGCACAATATTGTCCTGCTTTGGAACTCGACCACGCTCTCACGGTTTTGTTTCTGGGAACTCACACAAGAACTTCTCAGCGGGTCACCCATCATGAGAGTGCTCTTGTGTGATACTCGCTGAACTTCGGAGTTCCCATGGAACCCGAAGCCAGTGAGCTCCCAAAAGGCCATGTGCTAGGTAGAGATGGGAATATACATATAAGGCTAACAAGATCCACTCCCTTGGGCGATGTGGGATCTTACACATATTATTGATATTTCTCATATAAATATACTTATTAGGCATATTATTTTATTACTAAAAACTGGAGGTCTTGGGTTCGAAACCCGCGGCTGGTGTGGAAGCTAAACTTGTGGCCATGGGGAGGCTAAAATGCCTCTACGAGTCTTCCCAGCCCCCGGAAGGGGTGGATAACCTTGGCTTGCCACTAGTTGTCTTCCCTTAAAAAAAAATCTACAAAATATAAGTAAATTATTATAATATTTCATACATGTTTATCATGCATTCCGAGCCTCTATTAGTAGGCATATTATCGATATTTCTCATATAAATATACTTATTAGCCACA